TGCCGTCACTGCCGGGCAAATGCCGCAGCAGAGCCTTCTGCCGCGGGTGCTTGCTGCAGCCCCTGGCTTTCAAGGGGTGGTCGCGTTTGCGGGGGCTGGCGAGCGGCCGCCAGCAGGCTGGGGCGACCCTGTGGGCTTGGGGACCGGAGAGGCCTTCGGCTTTGCGGCAGGGGGCGCCTTCGCCTTGGGCGCAGCGGACGCCTTGGGCTTGGCAGCGGGGGAGGGCTTGGGCTTGGCGTGTGGGGCCGGCGAGGGCTGTGGTTGGAGGGCTGGGGACGGCTTGGGCTTGAGGCCAGGGAAAGCCTTGGCGGCAGGCGAGGGCCTCGGCTTGGGCTTGGGGCTCGGCGCCGGCGCTGGGGAAGGGGACGGCGCACTTGCTCGCGTCTTGTTGGCAGGCGCGGTGCCCGTCCCTGAACCGGCGCCTGGGGCCGGCGCTGGGGCGCTATCACTTGACTCCGGTATGCAGTCGAAGCTGCGGTTGGGTCGAGTTGGGTGGGTGGATGGGTGGGTGGGTAGGTGGCAACAAGGCCGGTTGCTGCACAGTCGGGCGACAGGGCACTCAAGGTCGGGGACGGAGCGTGCGGCGTGCGGAAGGGCGTGGCGGGGGCGCGGCTCTGACAGCTCACTTGCAGCCGCCGCAGTAGTTGGCCTTGCAGAAGGTGCCAGACGGGCACTCCTGATCTCCCCTCAAACAAGGGTCCACGAAGCAGTTCACTTGGCGACAGCCGCCCCCGCGGCGGCCAAATGGGAATGGCGGGAACTGGGCGCCGGCGGACGCCACGCCCGCCCCGCGGCCGGCCAGAAGGCGGCGGCTGCTCGTGGGCGCAACGCGCGCGACCCGTACAGGGCCAGCGGCACCGGCTTTGACGGGCGCGCATGCTGCGATGCAGGGCGAGCAGCGCTTCTGCACGCATTGGTGCCTGTGCGGCGACGGTCGGTGGAGGGGCGAAACCTCTTGCTGGGGATGGGCGCTTGAGCACGCGTGCCGGGTGTGCATGCGCTGTGGCGATTTATGCTCAAGTGCGCCGCGGGCACAAGCGCCAGATTTGCATGCGCAAACCCCTTGCTGGCCCGCAGGGTACCACGCAAGTGCGCACGTGCAGTCAGCACACAGGGCGCGCGCTGCTCGCTGTTCGGCAGCCAAGCGCGCTACTCACCCCGGTGAGCACGGTGATTCACATTTGCAAGCATCGCAGCTCGATGCTCCATATGCTAGTACCGGCTCTAGGACCCACAACAACAACATCGCCGCGAGAACAGCACGAGGAATCGCCATATTGCAGCACGCACAGAGTTATATTTCGTCGAGAAAGGGATGACAACGTGGTTTCATGCGCTCGTGCGAACGCTTGACAGCGTTGCGCTCAGCAGCGGCCGGCCAGCTGCCGTCCGGTTCCCCGTTCGGCACCGGAGGGGTAGAGCTGCTGACGGCGTGTGGCAGGCGCCTGAGCGGCCCCCCCACACACTGCACCTGCCTGAGTTCTGGGTAATTATGCTCGTAGTGGCAAGTTATAGTGGCTTCACCCGCCATAGCAATGTCCGGGCTCAGCAGTGTGTTGCTGGTGAGCAGTGAGTTGCTGCTGACATCTTGATGAAGGGCGATGTAGCGGGACTGCGGCCCCGCCGACCCCAGGTGCGTTTGCATGCCCTTACACAAAGAATGAATCCTGCGATCTGATCTACCAGCCGTCTTGTGACGTTCACCACCGCCGCCGGCAACAACCCTGTCGCGCAGGCCCTTGCTGCGGTGCAAGTGCAAGCGCGGCCCGACGCGGAGGCGCTCCCTTCGGCTGCGCGCTCGCCGCCGCCTCGCGCCGCCACCTGCATGGCAGTGATCTGCAGGTGTGGCCCCTGCATGGCGGTGGTGTTTTGCCAACAACGTGAAAAATTTTGTGGGGGCTTGACCAGTCCCAAGGTGCTTCTCCAACTACACTTGAACCTTTCAGCAGTTTGACAGGTGCACAACCTCACGGGAGTGCAGCCTGCGTGGGCGGCACGGCGACTGCGGTGCAGCAGGCCCCCCTAAGGTTGCTGTGCTGAAGTGTCAGGCCTGCAGATGCAAGTGTAGGTGTGCCGTGTTGGGAGAGGTTCAAATGTGCAGTGTATGTTTGGAACCCTGGGACGCATTTATGTACGCTGCAAACCTGCAAACACGTCCGACTCAAGATATTTGGTGATCCAAAGCGCACAATAGGCTCATATTGTCTGCAGCCAGCAGCTGTCGTCGCTCGCGTGGGCCCCTGCCCGGCCACGGCGCCCTCACGGCGGCACCTCCTGAACCTGAACAGGCTCAAGCCTCAACGGTTTGACATGCTGGATGCGCGGGCTGCCTTAAGTTATGGAACACCGCAAATTGAACAAGCGCTTCTGTGCCTGTGTGTTGCACGGGCTCCCTTGCTGGGTTGCAATTGTCCCAAATTAATGGTACAGGACATGCACAACGCCCGCACACCGATTACAGAGGCGGCAGGCCCGTGCTTGTGGTGCCCACCCTTGGGCGCCACAGGTATGTCTGATTTTTTTATTTTTGAAGCAATTGGCCCAGTTTTTGTGGAATTGTGGTCTGCAGACAGCTCCAGGAGCGCCGTATCACGTCACCAACGCACACAGCGGGTGACAGCACGCCTCGTTGACGTGTCGCCCTGCCAGCTGGGATCTTGAATTGCAGCTGGCAAAGAGGCGTACGAGCCAATGTGCGCTCTTCAATCTCATGCACGCGCTTCATATCGCAGGCAGCAGCCCAGATCGGCTCTGATCTCGTCGAAGCGAGCGGGCGTGCTTCTGATCGTCACCGCATTGAGCGTCGCAATCCTGAGCTACTTGCTCGGGCCAGAGTGCATGCGCCTCGCGTCTTCGCTCGGCCTGCGCCGCCTCGCAGCGGCCTCTCGTCATCAGAAGGCACCCGCGCTCGCGCGCCGCGCTCAGATGGCCACCGCTGCCGCTGCGCCCAAGGTGGCGCCTCTGGGTGAGAGGTTTGCTCTTGTTTGCTGTCTAGAGGCGTCACTGCCTGGTCAATCGCGTGCGACACACATTGCACCGCACAGCAACTGCATGTGGGCAAGCAACTCCCAATAACGAGCAAGGCACCTGTCGCCAGATACCCGCAGCGCGTCCTTCGCTCCCCCTCGCCTACCTGATTCGCCACCCCCAAAGCCCTTGCACCGCGCCCTTTGCCACCTCCTGTTCCCCCTGTTGAACATCAGCCAAGCACCATTAATCGGCCGACACGCTCCCTCCCCTGCCCGCTTTTCGAACGCGGCCCCAGGTGACTGGGTATCCCCGATTAGCAGCGAGCTCATCACCTCGCGCACCCTCGGCCTGGGGTCCCCCACCGTGCTGCCGGACGGGACCATCACCTGGGCAGAGATGCGGCCCTCTGAGGGCGGCCGCACGGTCATCGTCGCCAGGTGGGAGCCGCGTGCGCACACGCCTCCTTCATCCGCCGCACATTGTGCAACGCACCAGCTTTTGCAACCTCCACTCAAGTGAACGTGAAGGCCGGCGGGACCTGCTGTGTGCGGCAGCCGCAGCCAGTGCGCCGCAGGACCTCCCACTACTGCTGTAGAGATCGAGCGGCCGTCCGCTGCTTCGTCGCCCTGCCGGCAGCCGTCATCACGCCAGGACAGCAAACTCTATTTTTCGCACCCGCCGTCCGCACATCCGGCCTCCCCCAGCGGCAACCAAGCACGCGCCACGCCGCACACCCCGCTGCACGCCGCGTCCCGCCCGCGCAGGCTGCCGGACGGCTCCGCAGCGGACGTGACGCCGCCGCCTGACAGCGGGCTCAACGTGCGGACGCGGGTGCACGAGTATGGAGGGGGGGAGCACCTGGTCCTGGCGGACGGCCGCCTGGTGTTTTCCAACTTTGCGTGAGCTCCTCGGGTGTGAATCCGGGATATCATGAAAGATATTTATATGTTATGAATAATATTTAGGTCCACTCTCAAATGTATGGGATCGTGCCCGTTCGCAAGGGCCACGAGCCGCTGTCGCCGCGGCGCCTCTGACTCGTGTCGCGGCGGCCGCTGCGCCGCGCAGCGTCGGCTGAGTTGAAGCGCCCCGCACTGGGGCTGTCGCAGCTGGGCGGGACGCCCGCATGGCGCCCTTGCATGTGACCATATGCATGGCGAAGCTGCGGCCTACGTGCCCCCCGTCATCCCTGCCCACTCACCCAACCAATGCGATTGCATGCACGGACAATGCACCCAAAACAACGGCCTCCACCCAACCCCAGGGACCAGCGGGTGTATGTGCAGCCGCTGCGGCCGCAGGGCGCCCCCGCGACGCCCCTCACGGCGGAGGGCAGCGGGCAGCGTTTCGCGGACTACCGCCTTGATGCAGACAGGGGCCGCCTGCTGGCGGTGTGCGAGGACCACTCGGACGCGTCCAAGGAGGCTGTGAACTTCCTGGCGGCCATAGGTGGGAACTTCTGGACTGCACGCACAACAGCAGCGAAGCGACAACCGTTACCCCCCGGACGGGCGCGGCGAATGTGAAGTTGACCGGTACCCATGAGTGCTTGTGAATCATTTCCTGAGAGACTATTTGCGGATTTGCAAAAGAGAAGCACCGCTATGCCCCAACTGTCAACAGCCCCCATCCTCAAACGACAGCACCCAGCCGCGCAGCGGTGCGCCCCAGCTTTCTTCAACGCAGGCACGCCCCCGCCTTAGCC